CTGGGTGGTGTGACCCGGTCCAGCAGGCTCCTGTGCTGTACCATCCACTACCCAGTCCAACCACCTTGTCTGTGTTCTCTCCTTTTCAGGTAGGGAAATTTCCTCTCTTTTTGATATCATTTAGAAGTTTGATGAATCCCAATGATAGTTTTGATTGTTAAGAATCTTTTGTTTAAAGTTTGGATTTTTCGTTGGGTTTTGTGAGTCGAGTTTTATTGTTTTATTGTCAGTTATTGCCCATGCTCTGCTCAACTATACTTTTTGCTTGTATGTAACACTTAGGTCACTCTCGACCAAAATCTGACCATATTCTGTTCCAGAGAGTGCATTACTTCTGGATTTTTCATCGAAACCATATGATGTTTTGCCTTGATAGCCCCAGTTTCATCCAGATTATGATGTATAGATAACTTTTAAATTAGTTTTCTTGATTGTTACTTTTTAATAGTCTGATTATCAGCGAGCTATCATTTCAGAAAGTTTTTATTTTCATTTTGTGAGTATTGTAGCTTTACGGTAAAACACTGTGTCTGACCACAGGCCACATGGCCCAGTCCCTGGGTGGACATTCCAGTCCAATTAGATTATAGCCTTGGAGCTTTTGTAGGGTAGTCGGTAGTGGCCGGGCTAGCCTGGGACAGTGTCATTGATTATGGAAATTGCTACCTCCCTTTGGCCTGACTGAACAAGAGGCAAGTGCCAGGCTGTGCAGTGTCTGGACTGTTAATTTTTGGAAGTCGGGAGTCCCACCAGTGTTAAGAGCCTAGAGTTTTATGTTTTTTATCTACAGTATCAGGGTTTTGTTTGGATTTGTGAATAGAGTTGGTGCCACTAACAGGGCACAGTCCAGAAGGTTTTTTATCTTTCTGGCTTGTGGAGTAGGCTCCATCTTTAATTACACTTGCACGGTCCTTGCTAGACTCTAGTGACAGATGAAGTTAATTTTTTGTGTGTATGAGAGTTTATACACATACTTTTGTTTTACTTTTTTTTCACTTTCTGCTTTGTTTAATTCGGTAATAATGATTCTTAGACTAAGTTCTTTTGTTGATGAGGATTTGTTGTTGAACATGCTTGAGTGCTGTACCATTCACTACCTATTCCAACCACCTTGTCTGTGTTCTCTCCTTTTCAGCCTGCCAGTAATCAATTATCAAGGGTCGATCATAAGCGCCCATCCCCAATACATATAGATGTGACCCCCAATTAAAGAACCCGAAAACCACCGGTACACTCCTTTTTAGGGTAAATGTCTTCTCTATGTGCCCTTTGTTGTTTTTTGGTCTGTCTTTCCAAGCTCTTTTTTTTATGAAAGTTACCTAGATGACAACCAAAGGCCACCTCCAATTCCAAAACCCCCCAAAAGGGGGAAAAAAGGACCTACAAAGGGAGGGGAGTTTTAGCAGTTCGCTTGAACTGAAATTGATTAATAGAATAAGGAATGCAGGACTCTGGTGAGGAGTTTAGGCTGTGAGGATGAGTTAGAGAAGAAACTCATGGAACATGGAGCTCCCCTCTCGTAAATGCAAATGCTCGAAGTCTTACAGGTGACAGGCAGGAGGAAATTGCTTGTAGTGGATGAAGTGTGTGTGATGGATACACGACGGGTGAAACTCCACTTGATTTAGCACCGCCTATGGTTGCAACCGTGGAGCAAACTCAAAGGATGCGATAGACAGGACACCCAGGCACAAGGTTTTTGATTCTGTGGGTTAACTGTACTGTGTCTTGCTGAATTCAGTCCAGAAGGGACACGTACAGCCACAAATACGTGAAGTTGTGAACTCCAATGAAACAACAGCCAGAAGTGAAATTGCCGCTGTGTGAGGCAAGCTTAAGCCCATTGGTAAACAGAAAACAATACTGACAAAACTCTCAGTTTTGAGAGAAAAAACTTGAAGGGCCTTATGAATGGGTCAGGCTTTTCAACGGATGTGTTGAGGGAAGATCTCCCCACATTGACAGTGATGACTGTATACACAGCACTGTTGGCCATCACGGGCCTTGTGGGTAACATTCTCGTGATCGTTTCCATGGCGACAACGCCCAGCCTCCGCACCACTTCCAACGTGTTCATCGTGAGCCTCAGCATTGCAGACCTCGCTGTGAATGTCGTCATTCCGTTCATAGCAGTATCATTCTTTAACTACGGCTGGCCCTATGACCCGTTTTGGTGTCGTTTTTTGTGCTACACTCTCTATATAGCATTGGGAAGCTCTATGTCAACTCTGACGATGATAGCTGCCAACAGGTGCTGTCTGGTATCCTACACCAGAAAAACCTTTTCCAAGTTCTGCGGCTGGAAGGGCACAACGCTGTGCCTAATCTTTAACTGGTTCGTCACCATCGCTTTGGTCGTCTTTCAACATTTGGCCGGTCTCGTGACCGTGCACTATGATCCACACCTTTGATTCTGCTACCCAGACATCAGCAAGCCAAATACTTACTGGTACATCACTGCCGTGCTGATCCGCGACCTGTTCATGTGTTTGTTCCTTGTTCCTTATACCCCATTTGTACTGCAAAACCTTCCACACACTGCACGCCAGCAACAAGCGCATACATAGGGGGGCCATTCCACCGCCTGGGAGAGCATCCAAGGAACGTCACAAATCAGTCCGACAGTGCCCAGAGGGTCTGCATCACACCGAAATCAAGCTCACAAAGATGATGGCTCTGATCTGTCTGACAATCGTCTTGCTGTGGATGCCCCTCTTGATCGTGCACCTCTTGAGGCTCAGTCTCGGCGTACCGTTGTGGATGCATCGAATCGGGCTGATGCTGATTCTCACGAACTCATCCATCAACCCCTACCTGTACGCTTGGCTCAACAGCAACTTCCGTCAGGCGTAAAAGAGGATTTTGCGCTGTGGACGAAATCACAGGATTCGTCATCAAGATGTTGTTTTGTAAAGTAGAATCCTCTGGGGTTTTTCTTTTATCCTGAACTCCATTAAACTAAGTTTCACCTCCTCGCAGAGTGAGCACATGCACAGCAAAGCCCACTGAGATAATCCTTTGTGAAGTACACTCTCCCTCGTAAAATTCCTTCCCGGGGTGACCTCCGGTAGAATATTTCTACTCTCTGCCACACTACTCCACGAACTAAACTCTGGCCCCTTCTTACAGACATTTTCACAAGGTGGCAGGTTTCACCGAGGGTATCAAAACTCCGCTTGCTCTTGATACAGACGTACATCTTACTGAAACAAAAACGATTAATGCAGACAAGGCTACGGGACCAACACCTCCCCGTCATGAGCACTCAAGAATTGGATGCACTTGCCCAATTTTCATTTGACTGTGAGGGAGGAACCTGGAAGCGAGTAGCTAAATGCCCGACTAAGACTAATTTTGTACAGGAAAAAGCCCACCGAACTCGGACTGAGAGGGCTGGAAATGAACACGCTTCAAGTTTACCGACCTCTGTCACTACTGAGTGCCAGTTTAGATACATATCATCTTTATATGGAAAGACAGGCTTTGGCTTTGACATGAGTATCTAACTGGTGGGAGTCCAGAAAACACTCATATCACAAGCAAGACGAGAAGAGCACATCAAACAGGTCTAAACTCCCAAGACCTCCAATGTGAACTCATTGGAGTCGAATGGTAAACTCTGCCTGCCAAATTCTGCCAATCTGACCAGAGAACATCTTTTTTATCGGAGGATATCTCAGCTGTTTCATCTTGTTCCATTCTGCTTTATGCTCCGAGCTGGGCACACTGACTGATAGAGAGGGTCCTCTTCAATTACCTGACGTAGGATTGAGGCTAATTTAGTCATTCTCATATAAATAAGTTTCCATAATTGAATAGATTGGAGCCACAGAGTGAGCAAAAAATCAGCCAAAAGTCCACATCTATCTATGTCACGGAGTGATACCTAATCGAAATTACTCTTAAAATTAATAATATCGTACAACCTTGGTTTGACATAGCCCTATTTTGTGGCGAACATGGACGTGGTACTTAGTGGTGAAACAAGATTTATTTTCTCTAGGGCCACCACACCCAAACATTCCCAGAGTCAGTCAACCTTACCAGAATGAAGTGCTGGGTGCCCGTTGAGTTGTTATTGGTAGATGTGGCCACTTATGCATTGATTTGAGTAATAAATATGAATGAAGGATGGTACACAAAACATTCTGGGTTCTTTGGAATTAGGCATGGCAGTGCAGGAATTTTTCCTTCAAGTTTAAAAGTAAAAGATATGAATTTAGTGTGACGAGTTGATTGTTGGATTCTGAGGAGAGGGCAGTGACCAGCCTCGATGACGTACAGTCTTGAGTCGATGATTTAGTTTTGAGTCACCACTGATTGTGAAAGTGTATTATACTACATGTTTGTGCAGACTGTTCTGAGAAAGTTAGGAACTGCCCAGTTCCTGTAAGTTAGCTATGTATACATATTATGGATATTTTAATTTATTCATTTGTTCCTTGCGAAACCAGATTTTGAGCCAGTAAAAATGAGATTTTGTAGAGATATTTTGCATAAAGTCCTGGTAGGTCTGTAAGTAAAGCCAAGGATGTTACAGCATTGAAACAATCTATTGTTATCTAGCAAGTTTGAGACACTTGATAACATTGCACTGCACGTAGAGTTACATGCATTGATCGCCGTTTAAATGGAATCATTAAACGGAAGTTAACAGACAAAATGTCACACAACACCTGCCTTTGCAAAAAAATTCATTCAAATGAGTATACAGCACTACACTGATGTTATGCACCACTGTAAAAAAAATCTTAATCAAGTAATCATTCAATGAAACAATGTAATGCATGCCCAGTGACAGAAACACCAATAAAATTCCAGGCGGTCTTAAACTTTTGCAAATGACTCTAATACGGCATGAACTATTTCAGCCAGTGTGTAACACAAAACTGACAGCAACAAAGCTGACCGATGTTCTGTGAATCAAAATGTCAGCTCTAAAAAACAGATAAATTTTTTTGTCTTCTGGAAGCAAAATGTGATCTGCCTAGAAAGCTCACCTCGCTTTGGGAAATTTCTTGGCCAAGAACACAAGAGCCCGTTCAATGTCGTTGACCATTTGCGGCAGTGTTCCTTCAGGAGAACAAAGATTCCCGTTCACATATCATGATGCCATAACGTCACTTACGTCAGCCTTGTCTTTGTATTATAAACTGTCACTTTTGTGGGGACTGCACTATGTCCATATTTGAACCCCCCCCCAATCCACTAGTAGCCTCGTCAAGCCTAACACAGCTCATCCCTACCCTAAGCTCAGTTCAACAGCAAATCCAAGGGAGCAATGGGTCCATAGCGATGTCCCCTCCCTTCCCCACAAAAATCATGAGGGCCATTTTTGTCTTTTTACTTCTCTTAAGGCCTTAAAATGCATCAACAAAGTTTAACCCCCTCCCAAAAAAAAAATTGGGTCTGGAGCCGCCCTTGACCCCAGCCAACCATCACCCAATCCAACCCAATCTAAAACCCAGGCCAGCCAAACTAAATCTAACCAACTCAACCTTGTCCAGCCCAGCCCTATCCAGCTCAACTCTAGTCCAGCATCCCTACCCTGCCCCCACCCATCTGAACTCTGCCCAGTCCAGGTGGCCCATGTACATTCCCCTCGCCCGTGCAATGTAGCTAATGCCAATCTGGACCACCAGAACTAACTCTAATCCAACTCCACCTAGTCTAACCGGGCCCAACCCAGCTCAGCCCATTAGGCCTAGCCACCCTCTACTGCCCTAAACCTAGCCAGTCCAGTGGACCTACCGGGCCTAGCACACGTAAGCCAGCCTAGCCCAGTCCACGCCAGCTAGACGAAGCACGCCAACTTTTCTTCAGATCAGCTGAATGAACACCTACCTGTAGGTGCAAGAGTGTAATTGACCACTGCCGATACTGCGCCATGTCTGATGGACTGCCAGGCTAGCACTCCACAATCATCCTTGCTTAGGGGTGGAAAACAAAGCCACAAGGACATGATCAGATAACAAGAAACTGTTAACTCGGTGTTATCATACAGAGACAAGACGAAGCTATTCAACGAAAGAAACAAAACATGCGTTAACTCAAAGGTTTACCTAGCAAGGTTTTACAAGGCTTTGGGGAGAATCTCAGGGTAAAGCCTCGGTTACCACCTGTTTATTTTTGTTTTTCTCCATTATGAGAGATGCCACGACAATCATGTGTCATAACCTTCGTTTTTTCTTTGATTTTTACACACCTGGAGGCTTGCCAGTATCCACCGTGAATGCAGAGGAGAACCGGGGAGTCTGTGAACCAACCAAAACATGTTTGGTATGAATCTCACTTGAAGACAAACATGTGTAAATGCACTGCACAACAGAGTTCACAGAGTTGGGGTGAATCCAATATAAGGATTGTTCAACGTCCCCCACAATCCACATCTTCACATGTAGGCCTATATTACATCCTATCATAAGCGTCCAAAGCAGTTCATCATCAGGGAGTCGACTACAATAATTGCTCACACCAGTTTAAGTCAGAGTAGACATTGGGCAAAACTTTTTTGAAAGTCTTTTTGGGGCTTTATGACTACCATGGTCAGGTGCCTTGACTAACGGCATACCGGTATGGGCTCAATGGTCCCTTTGGAACTTCCATTTATCATCGGTCTATTGCCACAAGACCTCTGTTCCTTTGCTATGGGCACAAAGGTTCTTCACTGCACACATCTTGGACTTCTTCTAACACTATGGAAACTTATGCTTCCGTAAGTAATAGAAACTCCTTTGCCAAAGCGGTTCCTTTTCTGTGGGTCCTAGTGGGAACACTGTTCATATTTTCCTCACCTGCTGTTTGATGCTCGGGCAGATAGAGGTCCAACCTTTGGAATTGGCCCTCTCCATACCGGACATCTAGCTCATGGGCAAAAGTTTTCCGCATGGATTCAGTTTCTGTAACATCATAGGCAGAGGCCTACATGTCAGGAAGTAATTTAATCAAGTCTTTTACAAGGCCAGTCATGAGCAACATTAATGAAGGAATGCTTTTTTTCACAGATCATTCGGACTGTCTGTGATTTGGCTTAAAGACAGGATGACATGCAAATAACTTGCAGAAACGTAACAATTTGAATTCCCCAGACTAGAGACACTGTTGCTATACCTCGTGATTCGGGGCAAGCTTTTGCTCAGCGACCACCATCTCTGGAATGGACTGGTTCCTTTGTGCCCTTCTTATCCATTGAGAACAGTGTATTATTGCAAGGCATCTCTTATGTAACTAAGGAAAAGCTTGCCCCGAATCACGAGGTATAGTAACAGTGGGTTTAGTATGGAGAATTCCAATTGTTATGTTCACGTGAATTTAAAGAACTCAATGTACCAGATTTTATTCAAATTTAACTCGCAAAAGGCTTATCCCTTGTCTCTTCCAGTACCGGTCCATGCATTTCCAGTCCTGTACAGCTTACATTGTGTACCACATAATGCTGCACATTGGAGCGGGATGACCTTATCAAACCGACACCCAACACGATGGACACGTAAAACCAAATCCATACAAACACTGATATAAGATACTAGTACCTGGCCTAGATCCAACTGAAGAGAAAAACAGAGGAAAAAACATGTCAGCCGGTTGAATTTATCATTCAGAGGCATGTCCATTTCAAAACTATTTTCTACACACTGCATGTATTTTTAGGCCACTTGCTGCCTTTGTCTCATGAAGGAGTTGGGGGGGCAGTGGATAAACTTCAGGGAACCACGGGGAGAAGTGCCCCTCATCAAACATCTGGGACCCACCCCCATTTAGGATTGAAAGTTTATGCATAGGCATACACAAGGTGCCCTGAAGTTCACACACCCTCCACTCGTAGGTGTGCCAACTCGTACACCGACCAACTCGTACGTTCACCGACTCGTGCACCGACTAACTTGTGCACCAACCAACTCATGCACCAAATACACAATGTGAAGTGCTGTCGGTTTTTGTCTAAACTCTGGAGTCGAATGACCGGTTAACATTAAAAACTGCTCTTTTCAAGACTACATATTTTTTAAAAACCCACAGATTTCAAAGGGGGGTTCCTACCAGGGGCATCGTCAGCTGCTGGGGGGGGAGGCACATGTTCCCCCAGCCACCGAGGGCAAAAATAACACAGCGACACACATGCTCGCACTTGTCATACATGTACATGTACTAATGGCACAATTTGGCATAGGAACTGGTCAGCATATACATGTAAGTTGGCACACATACGAGTTGACCAGCATTCTCAACAGCTTTATATGTCACCGGTTTGAGGGAAGGGTGGAGTTTCCTCACTGTCCCAGATAAACCAACTTACTTGCCTCCAATCAAACTGACAATTTACTTACCCTTGGCGATTGTGGCTACAAAATACTCCACTACATCAGCGAAGAGGCCACAACGGTTGCTCCATTTGGAGGGAGAGACGCATTCATCAAGGTCCTTCATTCAAACAGAGCATGACGGTAGAAGTTTGACAGTTTTGTATCAGTACTTGTTGACCAATGTTATTTTGAAGCTCTCGTCTTGGTTATTTCTTCAAAGGACTTCAGCGGACAAACTGCGATGGTCTACTGGGGATGTTTTACTGGAAATCCTTTCTTTTTGGGCACTTACATGAATATTATACAGGATGCTCCCCTCCCTCCAAGTGTCCCTCGTAATGTTTTTTGAAATAACGATAAAACCACAAAGTAAACTATGAATTTCTTTACTGACTGGATATTCCTAGGCTCCTGGCCCTTGGCCTAAACTTTTATCAGTGTTAAGGCACTCTCCAACTGTAACAAATAAAAACAATTTCACAATTCTTTTTGTTTCCTCCCTACAATGGTAAAAATATGAAGCCATGTAAGAAACAAAGACTGCCTAACCTGCAAAGGAAAGGATTGGCTGATACAGAATAATGTTAAAAAACAAACAAGTAAAGCAACCAAGTAAAGGCTTTCTAGAAGTAAGGATTACCATTTTTATTCCATTTATCAATTCTACATAGTGTCATTAACTCCCCAACTCTAAATGTTATTGGTTTGTGCATAACTCACACAGAATTTGATTTCTTGAATCCAATTTGAAAAAAAATTTCAACCAGATTTTTACATTCCAGATGGTGTTATTATTTTTTTTTTGTCATTTGAAATGAGAAGTTAGGTGAGTCTCAAAACCAGAAATCACCTTGAGTAACTGCTTCAGGGACAATTCAAAAGTTGCAGCTGAAAAAAAAACCAAATGACACTTTCCAGAATTATTTGTATTGTTTTTACCTGTCTTGACAACTGTTTCCACTCAACTGCCATGATGACAAATTTGTGCAGCTCTTGGGTGATGACTTGCTTGTTTCCAACTATAAAACCAATTACAGAAGTCATTAATCCAAACACACAGAATGCTTGGTGTTCGAAACCAAGAAAGAACACTACAAAAATTACAAGAGATAGAAAGTTGCTTAATAATTATTAATCAAGTCAGTTAAAAATAACACAAGTCAAACACTGAAACAACAGTAATCACTTGTTTCAAATTGACTAGGTATTGTTCCATATGCTAAAACACGGTAACAATGACCAGTAGTGTACCCCAAGAACTTTACATATTCAAATTCTTTATGAATATTCGGATCACCCGTACTTATTTGTCTCTAGATTGTGGTTTTATCTTGGGTTTAGCCCCTTACGGTATTAATTAATAAATAAATTTGCCACAAAAAGCACAGCTGACTGCTTTGTTGACCTATGTCTACACCATTTACGGGTACTGAAAGCAACTTTGGACGCTTTCTTGATTTCATATCCATCCCATTTCTGGGTACCGGAAGCAAATCCAGTTACTTTTGTCAATTTTCATGCCAACCCCATTTGCGGGTATCAAAAGCAACTTAGCTGCTTCTTCTTCTCCTCCTAAATGCCAGATAAACGGATGGAGCTGTCTGACAGCCTCAGCAACCCCAACCTGCAACACGTCGCCCTCAATCTTCTCCTGACGCTACTCACGTCAGCAACAGCACCATCCACTATGAAAAAATACAGTGCTTCCTGGAAAAAGTGGGAGTTGTGGGCATCCTCCAAGACCGGGGTGCCAGTCTTTCCAATAGAGCCGCTTGATTTCGTCCTATACATATCTTCACTCCTCCCAAGTATGCAAAACTCTGCAGCAGACACCACATCAGTCGCAGTCAACTGGGTTCATAGTTTAGCTGGAGTATGATCACCTACAGATAGCTTGTTGGTCAAGACGGCACTACAAGGCTACAAGAGGCTAACAGCATCAACTCCACTGAGAAAAGAGCCTGTAACACCCAAAATAATGGCAAGCTTGTACAAAGCGTCCGGGCACTCCAACGTGGGGCTGGATGAATTACGAATACTATTCACGTGCTTCGTTTGCTGTGCTGGTTTCCAACATTTCAGCGACATCAGCAATGTCCGGAGAATAGACCATACTATTTTTAGAGGACAGGCTAATCATTTACCAAGTCAAAAACTGACCAGTTCCACCAAGGTAGTGATATCACTATTGGTAGAATATTGGCTAATGATTTAACCAAGTCAAAACTGACCAGTTCCACCAAGGTAGTGATATCACTATTGGTAGAATATTGGCTAATCATTTAACCAAGTCAAAACTGACCAGTTTCACCAAGGTATTGATATCACTATTGGTAGAACATTTAAACAAACCTGCCCAGTGGTAATTGCCAAATAATATTGTACTTCCAAGCCATGGCTGACCCAATAGATTTGCCGCTACCAGTTCCTCGCAGAATTACATTGGGTCAAAACTTTGCAGGTACCTGGAAAGGGAAAGGTTATAGACGAAAACTGCCCTCATGTGATGATGACCTCTCCAAGTATCAAGTAACGTGACATGAAAGGTGCAATGTTTAAAGCTTCACATCTCCTGGAGTCTATATCATTATGCGACTGAACTTTCCAAACACATGTAGCTGGACGAAAATATTGCGACATAAAATGTTTGTTCTTTAAAGCCCTATTCCCTTTTTCATAAGAAACATTCAAAATTTGGAAAAGCCTTATGTTATGCTCTGTTCTTGAACAGGCATAAACTTCTTGTATTTCTATTTTCGTAACATGAGGGAGATATAGAAAATCATTTGCTGACGGAAGAAGTAGGATAGACTAGCTGTCCAGTGGGCTATTAAAGTAAATAACCTTGCCAGAGACAATCAACAAGGAAACTCATACTAGTCATGATAGGCTACACCAAGTATTGAAGAAGGCCTAGTAATGGGAAATCCGTAATTACATTAATATAGAACCAGACAAGCTGGGCTATTCCATGGTATCCACATTCGGCATCATCGTTACCAAAAAAGTGTGCCTATAGATTCCAAAACAATACCAGAATGGAACCTGCCCGACGAGGACACGACAAGAAATGCCCCAACTGTCCTCACCTTTAAAGCTGAGCTGGACGCAATTAAAGCTGATAAGTACTGTACATGTTTAATTTGCAGAACTTAGTTTGAACTTGGCGTTTTGCGCCCGTCCCCCTTTTCTCACGCACGCAACAGCCGACGACGATGCGGATTGTTGGTGGCACACGTTCGTTCTTGTGATATGGGATAGATAGATACATAAATGTACATTGTACATGTGTACATGTACATCACGTACACGTGTACGATGAACATCGACCGCGCCACATGTACATATAAAGCAAACTGTAGGCGGCAGACAATTCTTTTCAGACATCGATCACGGGGGATGTGTTAAGTGACAATAGGCTGCAGTGTGTATGGGGATTGGACTTGTGGGGGTACCCCCTGTCCCATTTCGTGCCTGCCTGGTATCCGGTTCGTAAGTGATTTTGTCACAAATAAAATGCGGACGCCACACGATTTGCAGGCTGTCATTGGACAATCGCTGAACTTTCGCTTTAACTTCCGGATCCATGGTTCCATGGAAACGGCTATCAATATTCATGTACCCTATGTGCAGTGCCTGTGCAGTGGGCGTGGTTTAAACCGAAGTGACGTCACACTTACGAACCGGATAGGGCGCATTCTACCAAATGGTTGTATTTCTGCGCGCTATCGAGTTCATTTATATTTTGTGAGCCCACGTGATTTTTACAATAAGATAGGCCATAATCGAAAGGCATCATAGAAATATTTCTATAAATCCCGAATTTAGGACTGACAGTTTCCAGTTCGGGGTATTTTTTTTCACAAAAAGCCCCAAATTGCGGGCCTATTTTGGATAGAGGCGGGCGGCTATATTCAGGAATGCGTGCTTAGTTTTACTGCTATTTTGGGGGTATCTTCGTTTAAAAGCGAATAAAAAAAATTTCGTGGCTAACCTCCATAAAATGGAAACGAAAAGTGATCTTCTGGCCGATACCTGAATTTCCAGTAAAAAAAAACGGAGGCCAACCTCTTCACGAGAGTCAACAGGCGGCGCTATTTCAGTCCGATTTTGTACTGTTTTCTATCGGCGCGTATTTGGTGTAGCCATAGACCTAAAAACCCGTACCCCCTAGCGCCGCGCGACCCACGTGTGTGAGCAGCGCCCTCTACTGAATGGAATACAATTGTATTAACCCCAACACTCTGCAGAGTGCGCCACTATAAATAAATACGGGCAATTCACAGTAGTGCACCTCCAAGAGTTTGCAACGCGTTGGCCAATCACAACGCGCGAAATTTGTCGACCCTTTCCAAATGCGCATTGGGTCAACAAATTTCTCGCATTGTGATTGGCCAACATGTTGCAAACTCTTGGTGGCGCACTATTATGAATCGCCCGTATTCCTATAGACGGCAGTGATAAATCCCCATACTTCACAAGTATTTAGAAAATACAACTTTCAAAGGTGTTCAGGTTGCACAGAAAAATGATGTTCCACATGTCCCC